TCAATTGCATTTCATGAACGCAGAATAATTTGCGAGCGCATAAATCACCGATTTCAAACTTTTTGCATTTCGTAAATATTGATAGTGACCAATCTGTTTGTATTTCAAAAAATTGTAACATGTTCCAATTAAATTAAATTAAAAAGAGAATAGTAAATAACTTAGTGTGTATTGCAGTTCATGTCATAAATGCGAGAATGCTGTATGTAAACGATATGCAAATTAATATGCAAATTTATGCTAATTAGGCCGCACACCAGCTAATTTGGATTGTGGAGAACACTGATGTCTGTCCAGTTTGTGCGAACTTGCACCTCTATACTTAGTCTTTTGATATATATAACCTAAATTATTGTTCTGAACGAGACAACAGACAGAGAATGTTTTATTTAAAAACGTCACAAAACCTTCTCGCTACCTTAAATCAGACCATGAAACAAATTGATGTGCACATGTATAATATTCTGTATGATGTATGTGTTAAGTTTGAATGAGATTGGTCCAGGCACGCACAGACACACACACACAAATGTCAAAACATAAGTTCCTGTTTTATACTCGCATCTGTTTTTATGCCAACATAAGTGTCACACCATGGTGATGCAGTTGATACCCCTCTTTCCACTGGGGTTTAAACTCTTTCATTGTTAAACCACTTTACACAGAGGCAACATGTTTACACCTAATTTTCTTTTATATTGACATAACTACACCGCTATGATGGGACACAAAATCAGATGTGAACATGCTAAATGATCATTTTTTGACTCAAAGTGAAACAGCCTTTTCAATTTTTTTTTTCCAATCTTAGAAAACAAACAAACAAAAAAGTACATACCTGTTCATCATCTGTAATTGATATTAAAGCTAATGGTAGTAAACAATCTTTACTACCTATGTATGGAAAATCGTCCAATTCCAGTGGGAAATGAGTACTCTTCCGAAATAAAGCTAACATTTCTTCTCTACCGTATCGAAATTCGGCTAGTTTATATTGCGGAAGGCCGGGTGAGGGAGGAGGTGATGCCACACTTGTGCCGCTGGACAAAGCACGTAACCATTCTGGACCAAACGTCATTGTTTCTGACATGATGAAAAAGTAAAACTGAAAATAAACAAAATATAGAATGAATATTTTTATAGTATAGTGCAAGTATTGATAAGCAAAAAGTGAGAGTATTTCCAAAATTTAATGGTGAAGCCAAAAAACAAACAGGTTTTACTTCTCGTCATAACACAAATCGGTTTGAAACGTGCACCTCGCATTTATTCTGTAATTGTTTACCGATAAAGTGCATCACATACATGTACAGTAGAATGTTTTGTTGGTCCAAATATAATACATGTATTTGAAAGCATTACTGGTATTCAATAAATGTTAAATATCCACTTGTTGTGGTAATCTCAATACAAAAAAAATAAACGAAATTGTCATCACATAATTTTTTAATTTTCTCTAAGACCAAAAGCTCATCAAGAGTCAGCACATTTATATTCTGCCAATGTACATGTATAAATCAACCCAAACATACTGGATTTATATCATCATTTATGACAATGAGAAAATCCTAGTAAAACTAGAATAAACATGTTACCTTACATATGCAAATGTCATTATCATTCAACATATACATGTATTGTATATATATATATCGAATATTTACCACAAATATTTAGAAGCTCATCTCCAAAGAAGCACACATACACCCCCCAAATCACATTGATTATTAAAATGAGTTATTTTGACCATAGATACACCGACTTATTGACATAAAAAAAATATTTATGTAATAATGTGTATGAAATGTACAAAATGACTAAACACAATTATTAGGAACACATACTGTATGTATAGTTAAAGAAGAATATAAGCAAAGATTACTACTATTATTATCTTGCAAGTATAATGGAAATCTCAAATTAACATTATGAACCCTGCAGGCACTGGAACATGTTAAAATCAATTTTATCAATAATACATGGTGATCCTAAAAACATCATGCTAAAGAGCATAACCACAAATTGTGCATCTCATACCACCAATATTAAGAGAGGGCGTCACTTTGATAAAATATGAGGTTCCAAATAGATCAAGACGAGGAGAGTACACTACACTTTCATCGAGAATCACTACCTGAAAAAGCTAACAGTACCTGAATAATAATTGTAGACTTGCTTCTTTTTTTCATTGACCCATTCCTGAGTTACAACTAATATATGACATTGAATACTAATTCTTTACATGTAAATCACAATGCATGCAAGCATGCATACAGAAACACCTGTAGGAGCACATAAAGTGAACCACTCTAATTTGAAGACAGACAAATTGTGAGTCAGTGAAAATTGTATTTGCCTGAAATTAATAAATCATCAATATTCTAGAGATGAAAAATAATTTTTTTCAGTAAATGGGAAAAAAACATTAAATACTCATAACCTAACCAAGTTGAAATTCTCAGCTAAGAGACTTCCCTGGGTAGAATTGGTTAAGTCAAATCACAAGTCAAAATACCACACTTGTATGTAGAAATACACTTTAAAAGAACTAAACTACGGTAGTTCCTTTCGGCTAAACAGCAGACATAAAATTCATATGTAGTGCCTATGACTTCAGCCAATGATTGAAGATGAATTATGTTTTGCCACTGGTACCCATAACTCATTTACAAGTACAGCATATTACCGTATTGTTTTTCCACCATTTTCGACTAAAAACAACCCATAACAATCTGGAGAATTCCTGAATTAAGTGCTTGAGAATAATGTATTTCACCAATGCCCTTAGAATTTTTATTCTTTTCTACATTTCAAGGTAGGAAACTGATTATTGAAATCAACCAGGTGTTGACTTCATGGCAGCCAAGTTTTTCAGATAGTGATGGGAGTAAAAAATTGATATGGATAATCTGTCAAGTGACTGCAAGTTTTCATCCCTTAATTATGATGCAACCCACTTTTTACATGCACAACTTCCTGTTGTGACACAAAATATAAGTGACATCAAAGGCTTTCCTGTGCAAATGATTGTTCTGTCTTTCCAAAATTGTTAAAAGCTCATGTTGGGTTTATAATGAACCCTAAGCTCAAATTGTTTTGTCAGATTACAAGTCCCTATACAGTCACAAATTAGATGTATGAATATTACAGCAATGACTTTATGCCACAAATATAATATTAAATTGTGTATGTATAAAGAGTTTGACTATGAAAGGTCAAAATGCGCAAAAAGGAAATGCATCACCAGTAAACTAAAAAGAATCATCAACCAGTAGACTAACTTGGACTCCAGGATTTTAACAGCAAGCCAAGGAACATGTATTTGGTAACTGGGATTCTAATATTTTCAGGGGTCACAATTGACCAGCCATGTAATACGATTTCTAGATTTCATATTTATAAGGACTAAATTGCATTGCATAGAACCTTGCATGGATCTGGTATACTATAACGAAAAGAGTTCCTTTTGTACCCCCCATTCCTAACCCTACCCCTCCAGCACTCCCCATTCAATTGTACATACCCCTCCAGCACTCCCCATTCAATTGTACATACCCCTCCTAAGGGACGACGTCAAAAGATCGATGTTGGATAAAAAACTCATTTCCTTTAGTTTGGGGGTGGGGAGTTTTGACCTCAAAAAGTTTCCATCCGACAAAAATGATTTTATTTTTTAATGAAGTCAAAAAAACTTTTGGAGTATTTGTAGTTCGTTTTTTTTCTATCCAATCATGGACAGAAATAACCGAAAAGGGAAAAAACAGAAAAATGGTTTGGTTCGAGTGTAAATTTGTGCGTCAAATAAGGTGCATTTGTAAAATCTTTTTACACCCACCCGACAGCCATCTGCTATGCAATACTACTGTCCAATTATCAATTTGTATTTAATGGTGAATGTAGTCTGACGCCATGACCAATATTTATCAATTAAATTTCAGTGGGGGGTAGGGGGGTTTGGAAAAAAACTAAAGGAATTGAGTTTTTTATCCGACATCGATCTTTTGACGTCGTCCCTAAGGACATTTATAGTTATTTAGAGGAGGCATATACAAATGAATTGGGTAACTGGGAGTGAGTGTTAAGAGTTAGGATTAGGGATGGGGGGTGGGGGGTTACCAAAAGGAACTCTTGCCACCAACATTTAACTGTATTTTAGGAAAATTAGCAACATTTGCAAAAATATGCTATTTTAAGGGCAGTTATCATAGAACACAATTACAATAAAATATTTTGATTTCAACATATTTAAAAAAAAAGACTGAAAAAGAATGTCAGACTTATTTATCATTGGTTTATCTTATGCCATGCATACAACAAATACATGAGCTGTCTACAATCGTTGAACCAATGATAAAAATAACCACTGGCTCATTATACAGTACTCTCCAGAATACAAAATTATTAATGATGAAAAATTTGTTTTTCTCATTTGTTAGGTTAAACGCATATCTGACCATTGCTCAAAAATATATTTGTAAATGAGTCAACAGCACAAAACACCAAGAAACTATAAGCTATTAACCAAACAGGCAATTCAAATAGAGAAAATAAACATAAAATATTGAAATTTAAAAATAATTAAATACAATTATTATTTATTTTCACTAAAATGTTCATGCACTGTTTTCATACTAGTTGTGTGTCATCTCAATCATCAGATCCATGCTGTTCTGTCGACAGTTCATACAGGAACTAAATGTTGGCACTGACAGAGAAAGCCTATACCATAGAGTTTTGTACAGCCATGCGTAAACAGCAAAATAAAAAACACAACAAATGATAATTTTTGACACCAGATAATCAACTGTTTCAGTAATTAAAAAAATATTGAAGAATTCGTACTAGTTTTAACATTCAAATTCACAGCAACAGCTTTGAATAAAATTATATTTTATTGGTTTTTCTACGTACTTGCTGTGCACATTCTATTAAAGTGTTGATAAATTAATTCGACTAATTACCATAAACACAAAATATTTGTCGCAATCGCAAATTCGCATAAATAATTAACCCGTGGGTTAAAAGATTTGAGGAACACACAAACACAATTCGTATTTGGAGATTATATTGTGCAATCGCTGTCGGCAGTGATTGCCTGCGAAAGAAAACTTGCCACTTCGGCAGACGACCACCTTCCTTCCTGTCTATCTACTCGTTTTTAAAAATAAAATGCCGAGAAGCTCTTTACGAAATATATGAAGGTATGATTCTCAACAGATCAAACAAAGATGCGAGCGTTTTTTGAGAATGAAATGGTGCAGTGGGTGACACGTTTTCTACGAACATGCTGGACACCATTCGAGATCCCACACCGACTGAACGAGCTGTAGTTTTTGCTCGGAAAAGGCCAGCTTGGGTCAGCTGATAAAACACCGATCTTTTTCTGGCTTTACGGTAACACACATAAAATGCGAACACACAGTGACATAATATATTATATACTCCCGGAGACGAACAGATTTTTGGGTTGCTTGCTAATAAAAGACGGCATTTTTACCTGGCTGGACTTTGTTTTGCCGAGTCTGACAAGATTCAGAGGATGCTTGGTAAAACCAATATGGCTGCTACTTTCAGGTCACGTGAACCAGTGAATTGTAAAAATCTCGGATTGCATCGACTGAAGCCCGGAAGTGTCCGATACTAGCCGAGCAATGCCGAATATGCCAGCTGATCAATGAAGTACATTGATGTTGTGAGAAATGCTAATCTGTGACCAGCGTATATTGTAGGAACGGTGATCGTATGTTGGTTGGTTTCTCCTCTAGGATGTAGGTATGTAATGTGTCATTTGATTGAAAATCGGATTTATTTACAATATTATTATTCACCAAAGCCCGGGATTATACTTCCGGGTAGGCGTCACTTAGAGTATTTTAAGTGGCTGGTGGAATTCTTGAAAATCATCTAATAAATAGTTTGTAATTACTTACAACCTTAATAAAATATAAATAAATACAAATAAATATGCTACATGTATGCATATATGTCTAGTGGGGATTGAACAAATTTAATAATTTATTTCTTGAAAAAAAAACTTTTGAAGTTTTCTTTCATCTTTAATTAAAAAAAGGGCAATTCTTCACTGGTTAAAATAATCTTATTGCCCATATCAATTTATCAAACATTATCCAAGAACTTTCCCGATTGAAATCGAGTCACCAATGGTTACTGACTCTCATGTTCAAAAGCACACAATGAGAGTCTTGGCGGTTAGTGCGTCTATGTATGTGTGTCCGTGTGTGTCCATGTGTGTGTCTGTTCCACTGTTATCTCAAGAACCCATTACTAGATTTCAATGAAACTTGGTATGTAGATGTTCTTGAATAATGTTCAGACCTGATTAGTTTTGGGCTAAAATCTGTGCATATCGACAGATTCCCATAGCGATGTATAAAACATGTGTAAAATACATTGTTTGTTTACAAGAAAGTCAAACACGCACTGTGCAATGACCACCACCCTTTAATTATACCTGTGATCCCATTGACTGCCATAATGTTCCTGTCTGAAAAATTTGGTGCATTTTACCAATGGTACATTATTTTTTCATTGTGTACAAGTTTTGTTCAAAATTTTTGACAAAATTATGGAACTTGAACTTCAATAATATTCAGTCAAAAAATTCTGTATGCTGAAAAATGTTGGTTCAGTTTAACGTACCACAATTTTTGCACATATAAATTTGTAACAGTGTACGGTAATGCCAAACAAATAATGGAAATTTGAAAAATGATGTGGTGATTGGGTTTTAATTTTTTTGTATTAAGATTATTCACTACAACAACAACAACTATAAGTTCAGAATTTTACACTTATTGAATAAGGCATTTGAAAAGATGCAATCAAAAGTTGATTTGGAGCAACAAAACATGCTCTGAAACAGAAAGCAAAACATTGCCCCATGAGACTCAGGTTTCAAACTGATACACACAATAACAAGAAGCAAAACCTTTTTTCTTTGGCCTAATGACACACACACATTGCATTTTTTATATTTCAAATATGACCCTTATCAAACACAACATGACATCACAAGTAAAAAAAGTGAACGTTTTTATCACTTTATTGTTTATGACAACTAGTTGCTTAACCTTTTTACTTTTTTTTTTTTTTTTTTAAAAAATGTTTTTGTGCCAGGCGACAGTTCCGGACATGAATGTCACTGTTGTCTCTCCTGACATTTTTTTTTTAAGTGCAAATTGCAAGTGCTAGTGCTGACACATAGTGCATTTTGCCACAGAAGTCATTTCCTGTTTGGGACTACATGACAGGGCTGTGTGGCCATCTCTCTATCAAATGGCAATTTTAATGCGCTATCCTGGCGTCAACCAGGCCCGGTCGAACACAAGCACTTGCGTACACCAAAGTTCCCCCAAAGCCGCATTCGTTAGTGAATGAATTTCGGCCAGTGAAAATGACCTTCCCATTGAGTCTGTGGCACACTCACCCAAGGTAGGGGTTGATCCTTTTGATGTTCAGCCTAAGGTAGGATTTGAACTTGGGTCTACCGATCATGAGTCTGATGCGACAACCACTATGCTAACAGTGACCGGTGTACCTTTTTACCTTTAGTTTTCTCTTTTCATCACAAATTCACAAATTAATCCTGTTTACAGTCTGCGCTTTTTGGAGATTTTTTTGAGTAAAAACTGAAAATTGACTCAAATTTTGTCTCCTAGCTCCAAAATTTGAGTACATTTCCAAAAATATTGAAGAAAAAAGTGTTGACAAATTTTGTTGAGAAAGTCTGATGATGAAAAGGTTAAAATGAACTACTTTATAAAGTAACAAGACAGTGTTTACTGTTGCTGTAAATGCATTAATTATTCATTGGTTTTTAATTTTGCTATTTTTGTAAATAAGTAAAATTGTTAACTTAAATCCACTTCAACATGAAGAATAACATCAAAACTCTTTATTTCCCTGCCAATTTTGTGAGCTTCAAAACATCAAAATGGTCAAATTAAAAGCCAGTGAAAATAAATGGTTTTACAGTATGTCAGGAAATTTGAATACAGCGCCCTCTATGTTTACAATTGTGGTAATATGATTTGGATTTTCTCACATTAAAGGGGAACTAAATAGAGCCTAATTTGACGAAATAGTATCTGATTATATATAAACAACTTAGGGATCCATAGTTAGCTGGATTGATGAATTAACGTCCAGCCTAGGGAGTTTCCACTTTTACGTTAATGTTATTTACAAGTGTATTAACATGCAAACATTATGGATATGTGAATGATCGAGAGGCATTTTGTTTTCCTTTTCTGTCCAACTAAATGCTGTTTCCAGTACTGCTCCATGTGTGCAAATTATTTTAAAGTCTGGATGCTGGAGGATGCAATCTTGAGTTAGTAGGGTGGTGGTGGAAAATTTTTTGTCCATGTATTCACAGGGCTGCACTGGCAAATCAATGGGACAATTGTCACGGTAAGACCAAGCAGAATGTTCACAGACTTCCGCGTAATTTGAAAAAAAAAACGAACACTCACACTGGACTGATCTGAATCTTCGCTAAGTTCACAGTCTACTGTACTTCCCTGATCATAAGCCCTGAGGCATTAATACGTAAAATCGGGAAAAGTAAGGGATTGGCTTATAATCAAGGACCACCTCAGAAAAGATGATTTTGTTTTTGGGTTAAACATTGTAATCATCTTGCCAACGAAAAATTATCCAAACTAGATATTTCGTTCACCACGCCGGGCTCAGAAAAATAATACTTCTTTTTGAAGAAAAAATGCGTCATTGATTTCCATGAAGTACGGTACTTTAACGCAATTGGGCTTCCACTGTCAGAATACTGTGGTTCAAACGCAAGTTCTAACCCAAGTTCTAAAAAGCGCATTATACATATACATGTATGGCTATGTACAATGGCGTATACGAATCTGATCAGATACTAAAACGTCATAGCTTTGAAAAGTACCCGGATGTTAAATATGTTCATTCGTTATTAATGCCGTATACGAATGTGATCAGATACTAAAACGTCATAGCTTTGAAAAGTACCCAGATGTTAAATATGTTCGTTCGTTATTAGTCCCTGTTTGAACGAAGTCCAAAAACGGGGACTTTTTATTCGGTCTTCGTCCGTCCGTCCGTCCGTTCGTCCGTGCGTCTGTGCGTCTGTCCGGAGTCATATCTCAGAATCCCTTGGACCGATTCTGTTCATTCTTTGCATGTTCCTAGTACTTTATGTGGGACATACGCACATGCAGTGGTTTAGCAATTCCATTCAAAATGGCTGACTGGCAGCCATCTTGTTTTTTGAAAATGTTGTATTTTGGACATGCTTTGTCAGTTTTTATTCAAACTTGGTACATAGATTAAACATGTTAGGATACATGTGCATGACGATTTATTTCGGAATTGGATCAAAGATTACCGATTGGCAACCATCTTGTTTTTTTGAAAATGTCGTATTTTGAACATGCTTTGTCAGTTTTCATTCAAATTTAGTACATAGATCATACAT